AGTCTCATTGTTCTTTTTTCTTTGTTCCCAATTTGAAAAGTGAGTGAACACATAACCTAAAAGTGAAAATGGAGCAAACATTGGTCTTACCGAAGGACTGTTGGGACAGCAGTGAGTCCAAATTCAACTTAAAACTGTTTCGAAATTTGGGGTCCGACAAATCTTCTGCAAGCAAAGATTTTATCACAGCCTTGTCTTTATTTTTGTGGGCTGGCTAGAGAATACTATTAGCTATTGAGCCTCCGTTTGGGAAGTGGGTTGGCTTTTTGGCTTTTTGGCTTTTTGGCTTTTTGGCTTTTTGGCTTTTTGGCTTTTTGGCTTTTTGGCTTTTTGGCTTTTTGGCTTTTTGGCTTTTTGGCTTTTTGGCTTTTTGGCTTTTTGGCTTTTTGGCTTTTTGGCTTTTTGGCTTTTTGGCTTTTTGGCTTTTTGGCTTTTTGGCTTTTTGGCTTTTTGGCTTTTTGGCTTTTTGGCTTTTTGGCTTTTTGGCTTTTTGGCTTTTTGGCTTTTTGGCTTTTTGGCTTTTTGGCTTTTTGGCTTTTTGGCTTTTTGGCTTTTTGGCTTTTTGGCTTTTTGGCTTTTTGGCTTTTTGGCTTTTTGGCTTTTTGGCTTTTTGGCTTTTTGGCTTTTTGGCTTTTTGGCTTTTTGGCTTTTTGGCTTTTTGGCTTTTTGGCTTTTTGGCTTTTTGGCTTTTTTGATTTTTTTTGTGAGAGAAGAGTGTAATGATTATGGGTTGGATGTGATGTTTTGTTTGTTGTGGCTAAAATAGCCTATTTTGTCTTTTGTGGTTATTTTAGCCCCAACCTTGCTTGCCAAACGGACCCTAAAGAAGAAAACAAAAAAATTAATGCCAAAGGTAATTTACAATAAAGAAGCATTATGATTCTAAAAACACACACACACGTGTATATATATATATATTTCTTATTGTTCATTTTTTTTATAAATGTTTTCAAAAAAAATATAAATAGATAGAATGTTAAAAATAAATTATTTCAAAAAATATTGTACTAAAAAAATTGCAAATAGTAAAAAAAATACGAAAGTGTATTGAATTATTATATTTTTATTTATTTATTTGGTTAGACAATTATTTTAAAAAAATTCTCAAATATTATATTTTTTAAGTATATCTACATTAGGTATATATATAAAAAAAAATTACACAAAATATTAAAAAATTTACTAAGAATAAGAATTCCAATTTTATAAAAAATGAGTTAAACCAACTAAAGCTATAGTGCTGAGGAACTAAAAAGAAAAAAATAAAATGTCAGATTTTCTAATACCTTTAATTTTGTGTTTTCATTTTTTTTTTTTTTATCACCCAACACTAGCCACCCCCCGCCACCATTTTCCACCATCGTCTCCAGCCACCACCACCCACCTGCCACCCACTCGCCACCACCACCCACCTACCATCTACCCGCCACCCGCCACTACCATCCACTGTCCGCCACCTATCCGCTACCATCACTCAGCACCCATCTACCACCACCATTCACCACCCGCCACCACCAGCCACCCACCACCACCACCCCACCAGCCCTAAATAGGTGTGATTGTGTAAAATATTTTAATTTGATTTTTATATAAAATATAAAATTCCCAAATCCACGCCTCTATTCTACCCGTGAATGATAGAGACGACTCATTACTAGAAAATGAGGCTTTAGACACGGAACTTTTTCACCTATTTTTTCATCTTCCTATCTCTCTGTCTCCGTCTCTCTTCTCTCTCTCTCACTCATCACTCTTCTCTGTCTGTCTGTCTGTCTCTCTCTTTCTCTCTGTGTCACTGTCTCTCTTATTTTTCTCTCTCTCACTCATCACTCTTCTCTGTCTGTCTCTCTCTCTCTTTCTCTCTGTGTCTGTCTCTCTTATTTTTCTCACTCTCACTCATCACTCTTCTCTGTCTGTCTGTCTGTCTGTCTCTCTGTGTCTCTCGTCCATCTCTCTTCTGTCTATCTCTTTCATCTCTCTTCTCTCTCTGTCTCTCTTCTCTATATCTCTCTTACTCATCTTTCTCTGTATCTCTCTCGTTTATCTCTTTTCGTTCTTTTTTTCTCTCTATCTCTCTTTGTTTATATCTTTTCACCAATTTTTTCATCTTCCTCTCTCTCTTCTCTTTCTCTCTCTCACTCATCACTCTTTTCTTTCTGTCTATCTGTCTCTCTCTCTGACTTTCATTCATCTATCTCTTCTCTCATCTCTTTTCTCTCCCTGTCTCTTTCGCTCATCTATTTTCTCTCTATCTGTCATCTCTCTCTGTCTCTCTCGCTCAACTCTCTTCTCTCTATCTCTCTCTCTGTCTCTCTCGTTCATCTCTCTTCTCTCTATGTCTCTCTCGCTCATCTCTCTTATTTCTATCTCTTTCTCTGTCTCTCTTGTTCATCTCTCTTCTTTCTCTGTCTCTCACTCTCTATCTCTTTATCTTTTTGTCCCCCCCTCTCTCTTTTTTTTCTCTCTCTATCTCTCTCTCTCTCTCTCCTACTGTGTTCGCGTTGCTCACTCTCTCCCTTCCGTCTTCTCTATTTACTAAGCTCCCTCTCGATTTATCTATCCACTACAAGAAAATGCACTTTTAGCGACCACTTTGTCTCTCTCTCGCTCATCACTCTGTCTCTGTCTGTCTGTCTGTCTGTCTCTCTCTCTATCTTCTATCTGTCTCTCACCCATCTCTCTCTCTCTCACCACCCATCTCCTTTACCACATTCACCACTACTGCAAACGCTGTTCCACTACCACCATTACTACCACTGTCGCCACTTCCCCTCTACGACTACCATTACTACTACCATTGCCACCACTACTACTACCATTGCCTCTCTTTCACCATTGCCACTTCATCTACTCTACCACTACCACAACTTCACCACTAATCTCCTTCGCCATCACCACCACCACCACCACCACTATCACCTCTTATCCACCACCACCACTACTACTGCCACTACTACTATCATTACCTCTCCTCTACCACCGCCACTCCATCACCTCTACTAGTACCACAGCCACCACCACCACCATCATCTCTTATCCACCACCTTCACCACTACTGCCACTCCCTCTCCTCTACCACAAAAAATTAGTTCATGATTTTTAATAATAAAAAAAAAAGGGACGTAGAAAAACATTTTTCATTGACCACAGAAAATTAAATTTTATTTTAGTGAAAAATAATTTTCATTAAAATATTACCCCTACTTCTACCAAATAAAAAATAATAATATTTTTTTTCATTGAAATAAATATAAAACAAATAAATTTTCAATCTTAGTAACTAAAAAAAAAGAATTTTTTTAAAAAAAATTCATTAATTACAAAAAAATATATATTTTTAACAAAAAATAAATTTTTTTGACGACAATAACCCCCACCGCAAAAAAAAAAAAGAAGTTAAACAATATTATTTTGTTATTTAAATTTTATTTCTGAAAAAAAAAAATATTTTCAATCCCGCCCCTTTTTATTTTCCATTCCCGCTGCCTTCCCCACTTTTTTTTTCCCATTCCCGCTCATTCTCCCCCCGGGTCTCGATTCCATTCCCGCTGCCTTCCCTACTTTTTTTTTCCCATTCCCGCTCATTCTCCCCCCGGGTCTCGATTCCATTCCCGCTTCTTACCCCCCCTCTCTCTCTCAATCGACGGCGAGCGGCGGAGGAGCAGCCGAAAGGGCAAACGAGCCCTAGCCGTTCGCCATTGCACAGCTCGCAGTCTCTCTCTCTCTCTCTCTGTTCTATCCAGGTAACATTCTCTTCCGTCATTCCACTATTTCCTCTTGCCATTGACTTTTATCAGCTGAAAAATGTTCACTCATTGTGTTGAATCCGAATACATGTCTTTGCAATGAAAATAATTTTTTTGTTGTTCCTCTAATATGTTGAAACCAGGTATTTGCAAATATACGACAAAAATCGTCACAGAGACACAATTTATTAAAACCCTAGATTATATATATTAGGCTGTATGTATATATATAGATATGCATTTACACAGGCACTGCACTGCACCAATTTATTAAAACCCTAGATTATATATATTAGGCTGTATGTATATATATAGTTTCCTTTTTTTTCAAGCTGCTACTAGTCACCCATTTGTTTTATATTTATTCTCTCTTTGAATCTTCTGATTACCTTTTCCTGCAGTTGCTTTGGTCTATCTCTCTTTCTCTCTCTCTCTCTCTATATATATATATATATGTATTACATGCGCACTTATGTATGCATGTGTAAAGAAACCTATTGGACCCATTTCCCACTAAAAAGTCTCCATACATTTCCACCATCACAGTACCTTTTCATCCCTCCCTTTTTAGTCAGAAGTGGTTGTGAATGCCAATGTCCACATTTGTCTACTATATTGTGTTTTGTGTTAAAATTATATTAATTTAATGGGTCCTATAACTCATATTAGTTATTAATCCAATAATAATACATAAGATGAGACAATAAATAAAAATTGCTAGATAAATGTGGTCGTTTTAGTATTATGAGTGATTCCTCCATGTTGGAGAAAGGCATTGTGCTAGTAGTTTCAGGTATTTGGATGTTAATTCTCTTTGGATTTGATTAGTGGAGAAGGCGTGTCTCCAGTTCGGGTTTGTGGGTATATCACGGATTATATTAATTTAATGGTTCCTATAACTCATATTAGTTATTAATCCAATAATAATACATAAGATGAGACAATAAACAAAAATTGCTAGATAAATGTGGTCGTTTTAATATTATGAGTGATTCCTCCATGTTGGAGAAAGGCATTGTGCTAGTAGTTTCAAGTATTTGGATGTTAATTCTCTTTGGATTTGATCAGTGGAGAAGGCGTGTCACCAGTTCGGGTTTGTGGGTATATCACGGGCCCATTCTAATAACAATAATCCATAAGATAGTATATTGGGGGTATAGGTAACAAGATTTGCACTTTTGTCTTCCTTTAGTTATTTCTCTTTTCTTGTGTTTGGGTTGACTTTGTTACTTTTTTTTACCTTTTCCCTTTCATTTAGTTTCTGACTGTCTCTCTCTCTCTCTCTCTCTCTCTCTCTTGTAATGATCGTAAATCACTCTCCAACTTGGAAATCTTATTTTGGTTAAAGTCCCTTTCTCCTATGGCATTTTCCAAAGTTATTCTTGTTTCTGTCAATTTATTCTCCAAATCTTTAATTGCAGTGGCCGACAAAGATGAAATTTCTGCTTCTCTGTCTTTCAACTTGTCCTCTTTTGCCTGATAATCCTCTAGTTTGAACCTCATCTCTTGGTATGAGTTTTGTAATGATCGTAAATCACTCTCCAACTTGGAAATCTTATTTTGGTTAAAGTCCCTTTCTCCTATGGCATTTTCCAAAGTTATTCTTGTTTCTGTCAATTTATTCTCCAAATCTTTAATTGCAGTGGCCGACAAAGATGAAATTTCTGCTTCTCTGTCTTTCAACTTGTCCTCTTTTGCCTGATAATCCTCTAGTTTGAACCTCATCTCTTGGTATGAGTTTTGTAATGATCGTAAATCACTCTCCAACTTGGAAATCTTATTTTGGTTAAAGTCCCTTTCTCCTATGGCATTTTCCAAAGTTATTCTTGTTTCTGTCAATTTATTCTCCAAATCTTTAATTGCAGTGGCCGACAAAGATGAAATTTCTGCTTCTCTGTCTTTCAACTTGTCCTCTTTTGCCTGATAATCCTCTAGTTTGAACCTCATCTCTTGGTATGAGTTTTGTAATGATCGTAAATCACTCTCCAACTTGGAAATCTTATTTTGGTTAAAGTCCCTTTCTCCTATGGCATTTTCCAAAGTTATTCTTGTTTCTGTCAATTTATTCTCCAAATCTTTAATTGCAGTGGCCGACAAAGATGAAATTTCTGCTTCTCTGTCTTTCAACTTGTCCTCTTTTGCCTGATAATCCTCTAGTTTGAACCTCATCTCTTGGTATGAGTTTTGTAATGATCGTAAATCACTCTCCAACTTGGAAATCTTATTTTGGTTAAAGTCCCTTTCTCCTATGGCATTTTCCAAAGTTATTCTTGTTTCTGTCAATTTATTCTCCAAATCTTTAATTGCAGTGGCCGACAAAGATGAAATTTCTGCTTCTCTGTCTTTCAACTTGTCCTCTTTTGCCTGATAATCCTCTAGTTTGAACCTCATCTCTTGGTATGAGTTTTGTAATGATCGTAAATCACTCTCCAACTTGGAAATCTTATTTTGGTTAAAGTCCCTTTCTCCTATGGCATTTTCCAAAGTTATTCTTGTTTCTGTCAATTTATTCTCCAAATCTTTAATTGCAGTGGCCGACAAAGATGAAATTTCTGCTTCTCTGTCTTTCAACTTGTCCTCTTTTGCCTGATAATCCTCTAGTTTGAACCTCATCTCTTGGTATGAGTTTTGTAATGATCGTAAATCACTCTCCAACTTGGAAATCTTATTTTGGTTAAAGTCCCTTTCTCCTATGGCATTTTCCAAAGTTATTCTTGTTTCTGTCAATTTATTCTCCAAATCTTTAATTGCAGTGGCCGACAAAGATGAAATTTCTGCTTCTCTGTCTTTCAACTTGTCCTCTTTTGCCTGATAATCCTCTAGTTTGAACCTCATCTCTTGGTATGAGTTTTGTAATGATCGTAAATCACTCTCCAACTTGGAAATTTTATTTTGTTTCAAGTCCCTTTCTTCTATGGCATTTTCCAAATTTCTTCTAGTTTCTGTACATTTATTCTCCAAATCTTCAATTGCAGTGACCAATACATTCCTTACATTCTCAAACTGTCCAATTAAAGCTCGGGCATTTCCAGCAGCCAGTAAAAGGTTCTCTGCAGTCTTGATATATTTGCTGCCGTCAAGTCCGAGCTGACGATCTGCTACTGCATCTAAACTGAATTCTCTCGCTTCAGATAACAAGTAGTTCAATTTTTTCAGCTCAGGTACAGAACTCAGTTCCACTGGATTGTTCTCAACTTCAATCTTCAGCTCATGAGTGGCATCAGTACAAACAGACCCCAAAATTGTAATATCATTTTCCAACATGGCTATCTTGTTTTCCTGTGCCTGTCTATCCATTTCTAGATTATTCACTTCTTGCTTCAAAGATCTCATTTGCTCAATCTTAACTACTACTTCATCTCTTGTTGCTCTTAATTTTGTCAAAAGAGCTGCAATAAACTCATCCATGGAAGTAGAAAAACCTTTAACTTTATCTGCAAGAATCTTGTTTCTAAAATGAAATCCTTCCACTGTCTTTCTGAAATTGGACTCAAAACTGTCACCACCTTCTCCATTGCCCTCAACATTTTCCATTTCAACAATTGCAATGTTGTCAAGGCCAGCTGAGAACTTTGACACATAGGAATCTTGCTATATATATGAATGGAGAGAGAAAGAGAGAGCTGATTAGTGTAAAACCAACAAGTTTTTTATGATAAATTTACATGCACATACATACAGACACATGTAGCCGATCCCATTTGACGGGACTTAAGGCTTGGTTTGGTTTGGTTTGGTTTATATATACAGACAATGGACATATACAGATGGAATGCTAAAAGTCAAGCATGAGAAGCGAGTTCAAATCAAAGCAGCAGCCACTTTATATTAATAGTAGCAGAGGTTAATTTTTGGGTCCAGTTCATCCGTATAGCTCCTCCCATTGCCAATATCAATATTATGCCTTACAGTTCCAGAAAAAACATGAATTGGAACCCATTCTAGCTTGCATATCCCAAGTTCTAATAAAACAAAGAGTTATCTTCAATTGTTATTGTCTATCCTGTCTCTGCCAACAATTATTTTGTGAATTGCTTGAGCTTTTTCCATTGGCATGATTAATATGTTCAGAACAGGTGTTCTGAAAATTCACCAATAAAAATAAATAATAAAATGCATTTATCATGTGGACAAAAAGGCTCAAGAGGCAGAAAATGCCCAGAAATGCATATTTGATATTATTACACAATTATGCACACAAGCTGTTTAATTTATAGACAATATATTTGAGAACATAATTTCAATATTACCTCTGTGACAGGGTAACTTTGCTGTGTTTCCGACTCCATTTTGACAAAATGATCCTTTATGTCTTCAAGGAGGAGGTCCATATCTTTGAGGGTCTCAAATTTTGTCTCAAAGCTTCTCCTAAGTAAGGACACAAGGGTCTCATCTTTCAAAAGCAACTGAAGATTGTTAACATGACTGGAGAGCTCCAGAGACCTACTCTCTAAGCTTCCATTGGTTCCAGCTAACTCTTCCATACACGCATTTACCTTGGAATTAAGTGCTGATATCTCCTCTTAAGTATTTTTCTTTTCACCAACAAGTTCAGATATGTTATTCTCTGCCTTCAACAATGCTTCTTCCAGTGATTTTATTGTTGAGTTGGCATCTGCCAGCTTGCTAGCCTGGGAATCGGCTTCTTCTTTCAGCTGCTTCATTGCACTCTCCAAATTATTTCTACCAACCTTAATGTTATTATTTTCCTCAGAAAGCAAAGAAACATTTGTCTCCACCTGAGACATTGCATCTGCAAGTGATTTTACAGTTCTGAAGGCCTCTGAAAGTTTGGCAGACTGAATAGAAACTTCCTCTTTTGCTTTTTCCAGCTCTGTCTCTGCAGCAGCTCTACTAAGTTGAGCATCTTCTTTCTCATTCATAAGAGTAGAAATCTTATTCTCAGCTTCTGATAATGCATCTTCAAGTGACTTTTTCATTGCATAAACCTCAGCAAGCTTGCCAACTTGGGAAGACGCTTCCTCCAATGCTTTCTGTAACTCTTGTTCTGCATGTGTCTTACCAACTTCAAGTTCTCTCTTTTCTTCAGATAGTCGATAAAGATTGTTCTCGGCAATTGACAGTGCCTCTTCCACTGATTACTTATCATTTTCTTTGATGCTCTGTTTGTTTGAAGTCACAAGTATGTGAGCTAACAATGCCCTGTTTGCAGGGTGAAGCCATAGCTCACAACTTGAGGACTATGTTTGGTCTCAAGGTGCCAATTATTTCCATTGTTATTGGGGAAGGTGGTTCTAGTGGTGCTCTAGCCATTGGCTGTGCTAATAAATTGTTGATGCTCGAAAATGCAGTTTTCTATGTTGCCAGGTAATTTGTTACTGACAGTTTTTCATTTGCTATATTTTTAATTGCACGTTTACCATTGGATTTGTGCCTGTTGTGTTTTGTGTGCATGCTAAGTAAATCTCAAATATGTATCCCATTTTTGTAGATTATTATCTACATGGCTTATGACTTTAAGGTCAAAATAACTTTTCGACTTGGTTTCAAAATAGTCTCACTATCATCAGACATTATTTCAAGAACATAAGGGGTCAATAAAGTTTACTCTCTTGGCAGACAAGCTGTAAGATGTCCGTTTCATCTGCGGCTATCTTATTTCAACACATTGGCAATTTAATATTTGTAGAGTATTTGGCTAAAAGCATTCATTTAAGTTTCCAAAAGTGAGTCTGACAACTGTATTTTTTAATACATGTGTGTGATACATTATCACATTTAGAAAAGAAGCAGTTGTCCGTGAATGATTCTCACCTTTCAACAACGCTGCCACCACCAAAATGGAAGAGAAAAATTGACTCTCCAGTTGTAGAGGCTGCAATGGAGGAGTTTGTTAATAAGATTTTGCAGGATTTTGTTTCAGATTTGTGGTATTCAGAAATAACACCTGACAAGGAGGCCCATGAGCTCATCCGTGCTGTAATCATGGATGCCCTTGGTGAAGTATCTGGAAGGGTCAAAGAGATAAACCTCGTTGATTTGGTAACAAGGTATATTTTCAAAGAAGGTGCCATATTATTTTGGGGTCTTTGAAGTGTCCTTGTTGTGCACCGTTTAGTAACTGAATAACAAAAGCATTTGTTTGTCATATGTATCAGGGATATAGTTGACTTAGTAGGGGATCACATAGATCTTTTCAGAAGACACCAAGCTGCTATTGGTGTGGATGTAATGGGAACACTGTCATCAGAAGAAAGAGATGAACGTTTGAAACATCATCTTATTTATTCAAAGGAGCTTCACCCTGCATTGATTTCTCCCGAGTGTGAGACAAGGTGTGAGTGTTCTTATGAAAAATTTCTACTTATTGATTTTATTGTTAGCATGCCTTCTGATGCTTTTATTTGCTATAGGTTCTTTAGCAAATTATAGGTGGGTTGTTAGCTGTATTGCTGAGGCCACAAGAAGCTCAATGTCCCCTGGTTCGGTGCATTGCTCGAGAGCTTGTAACTTGCTTGGTAATGCTACCTATTATGGATTTTGCAAGCCCTTGGTGAGTTCTTTTAGGACTTCATTTGTTTTTTCATGCAGTGTTTTATGGCAACCCTGTTGCTCATAAGTATATATTCCTCTGAATGTTTTATACCGTACATGGTCTAATTTGTAAGACTTAAATGTGAAAACGAAAAATCTTATAGCTGTGAAAAATTCTTATATCTTCTCCTTGTTTCTGCTTTGAATATCTCATGTTTATATAGGATAGTATACACAGGTAGGTTGCTCCCCTCTTTTGGTGCCTTTAAGGTTATTATTTTTCTCTTCTTAAATAAAAATGTTGTCTCCCAAGTTTTTCTGATGTAGAAACAATTCGCTAGTGTGATGTATCAAAAAATAAATAAATTGTTGTACTCAGTCAAACGTAATTTAGGTTTATGAAACAAACAGAAATATTTGGGAAAGGGTTATGAGTTCTCTACTTCTGCAATTAGGTCAATTAATAATTCATTACTGAAAAATCATATTGTTAAAAAATAAAAAATTCTTATTATATATATATATATATATATATTGTGGTACATCATTCTTACTCTAAGAATGTACCTGCTGTGATAAAAATAGGATCGAGGTACTAGTTACAAGAAGCATAGGCTGAATACATGAGGTTTGCAATCTTTAACTATTTGTGGTGCTTCTGGAGTAAAGCCACATTTACCTCTAGCCTCTTGTAAATCATAGTCCAAATTTTCTCATTTTTTTGGCACTATAATACTATTTGGTAGGTTTGGCATTTAGCAAGTGACTCTGGTAATTTTCAGGTTAATCTTGGCATTTATCATTTTTAAATACTATGCTCATTAGTGATCTCCTAATTACAATGCCATTGACACTGAACTGCAGGGAAGTTACTTCCAAAAAGATTAAGATCAACCAGAAATGATTAATATTCCTATTTTGGTTTGCTGAATAAACTTTAGTTTATTCATATGCATCAGCGGTTTCTGGATTAATTTGTGTTTTCTTTTTTCAGGTCAGAAATTTTTTGGAGAGATGCAAAATATGGTCCAAGAATTAAAGAACTTAGTTTTTTTAAGTTTTTTCATTTTTTAATATATGTAAGCACAATTAATTTTTTTTTATTTAATTCTTTTGTATATACTTTTGAATATTTAATTTCCATTTATGAAATATATGATGTTATTCTATTCAATACGTGGTTATGATTCAAAATATAGTATATAGTGTGTATTACGTTCTTCAAATGTGCATACAAAAATAATATTGATTATTTTTAAATATGTCGAATCTTTTTTTTATCACAGATTTTATTAGTTATTAATCACACTTAAAAGATGTGATCTAAATGTTATTAATCACACTTAAAAGATGTGATGTAAATATTTTTAATCACACTTAAAAGGTGTGATCTAAATGTTATTAATCACGCTTTTTAAGTGTGATTAAAAATGACTCTTTTTAATCACACTTCCAAAGATCACACTTAAAAGGTGTGATTTAAATATTTTTAATCACACTTAAAAAGTGTGATTAAAAATGACTCTTTTTAATCACACTTTCAAAGATCACACTTAAAAGGTGTGATCAAAATATTTTTAATCACACTAAAAGGTGTGATCTAAATATTTTTAATCACACTTAAAAGATGTGATCTAAATATTTTTAATCACACTTAAAAGGTGTGATCTAGATGTTATTAAGCACACTTAAAAAGTGTGATTAAAAATGACCATTTTTAATCACACTCCCAAAGATCACACTTTAATAAAACTTAAAAGGTGTGATTAAATAACATACATCACACAAAAAAAGTGTGATCTTTATCTGTTTTGTAGTAGTGGGTGGTGGTGGTGGTGGTAGTGGGAATAGTGCTGGTGGTGGTGGCATGAAAGTGGTTGTGGTGGTGTGGTAGTGCTAGCAGTGGTAGTGATGGTGGCAGTGGTGATAATGATAGTGAGTTTATAATAATATATATTGATATTTATATTCAATATTTTTAAATTCAATCAGAATTAAGTAATTTTATATAATTTAAAATTTTCAAATGATATTAATTGTGGTTATTAAACAGATTTAATAGGTTATTACTTATAATACATTCAGTCTTAAGTGTTATCAAACATCCCTCAATAAGAAATGACAGGTAAAAAACACTTTACGAAAAGCTCCAGTCCACTTTTTACGTTGGTGGATGTTGTTTGGATCACCAGTCCACTTTTTATAGTCAAACTTTGCTGATCTAAAAATCTTATCAATTTTTTTTCTTATTATTGATTATATGTATATATATATATTATTCACCAAAAAAAAAATGTATATATATATATTTATATAAAAAAAATTGACTATTAATTATTTCTTCAAATGTCTCCTCTAATTTTTATTATCATTAAAGATATATTATATCAAATTAATCATATATTTTTCTTTAACAATTTTAAAATTATTTAGGGTGAAATACCAATAAATCTCAAATAGTAATCTTATGAGTTGTTTGATCTTATTTTATTTTATTTTATTTTATGGGCCCAAAAGTCTTATTCTAATGTGAATTACATAAATAGTCAAATATAAACATGTGTGTTATGTGTTTAGAGACAAAATGAATTTTCTCATAATATTGAAATTACTAAACGTAACACTTAAAAGAAAAACTCTTTCGTGTACTTTTTTCAAACGTAATAATGCAACATTCTAAAAAAACTTCTTAATGTATTTTTTCCAAATATAACACTTCAATCAATGTAACACATAAAAACTCCTTAGTGTACCTCTTCCAAATATAACACTCTAATATAACACTCTAATGTAACACCAGAAAATCACACTAATAGAAATGTAGATTTCAACACTCGACAGTCAACACTTCAACCACTAATCCCTTCAAAAAAAATCTTTTACACTTCATCTTTCCATTCTTATCCCAAAAACGAAACAAAAAAATTAAAAATGAATCACAAAAGGGCATTTACTTAAACTCAAATGACACTAAATTAAAAAATATTTAACTTTCCAAAACAAAGAGGATTAATTGGTTCATAAGAAAACTATGGATTAACTTTCTCCCATATGGGATTTATGGGTAAAATTTTCAATTATTTAAGGTTAAATTACAAATACACCTCTAAGGCTTGCTTAAAGTACAGATTGTCCTATGTGGTTTAAAAAATTACAAATACCTCAATGTTAGAATTTTTTATTTAACAAAATTAACTAAAAAAATAAAATTCATAATTGCCCTCCTATGCAATAATACAATTACTTAAATTATTGATTGAAATATATTTATAACATCATTAAAAACTGTTAATTAAGTTGATGATTTATTAATAAAAGGGATTATTTGTTATGAAATTAGAAAACTGAGGGGGTGAAATGTAATTTCTAGAACTACTGGGATTTTTTTGTATTTTAATCAGATCTCATGATGTGTATTGGTAATTTATCCATTATTTAACATATATTATTATTATTATTATTGACAAATTTTTATTTTAT